TTTCGAGCACTACCAGGAGTGATCCCAGAGCAGAGAGCCAGGAGGAAGCCTGATTATAGCTAGGTGTGGCCCAAAACGCCATCCCCCCCCAAATATATATATGTATATGTAAGGGCCAGAGAGATGGTTCATCAGGCCAGACAGGCTTTACATGTGGAGGCCTGGGATCAATCCCAGCACCAACTATATGGTGCCCCAGCACCACTAGAGTGACCCCAAGCACTTAGCCAAGAGTAGCCCCTGAGTACTGCTGGGAGTCCTCAAAACAAAACATAACACATTGTGTGTGTGTGTGTGTGTGTGTGTGCGTGCGTGCGCGCGCACTACTGTTTACATATAAGTTAGTCTGGAGGTGTATATTCCAAGTTATTAACAGTTCAAGCGGAAGTTAGTCGGTCTCTAAACTGTTCTGTAACTTTAAGGGCTTTATCATGTACAGTTGCTTGATATTTGAAAGCACAAAGAGTTTTATTTGCTTGTTTGTTATTTCTGAGTTACAGCCAGTGATACGTAGGGGTTACTCCTGGCTCTGCACTCAGGGATTACTTTCCGTGGGCTCAAGGGTCCATAAGGTCAGCCATGTACATGCAAACGTCCTACCCATTGTACTATTTCTCTGTCCCAAATAAAGATTTTTTTTCTCTTTTTTGGCCACACCAGAGATGCTCAGGGGTTACTCCTGGATCTACACTCAGGAATCACTCCTGGCAGTGCTGGGGAGACCATATGGAATGCTGGGGATCAAGTCCAGGTTGGGCATGTGCAAGGCAAATGCCCTACCCACTGCACTATTGCTCTGGCCCCGCCAATAAATATTTTTGTTTCTTTTGGGGTCATACCCAGTGATACACAGGGGTTACTCCTGCCTCTGCACTCAGGAACTACTCCTGGCGGTGCTCAGGGGACTATATGGAATGCTGGGAATCGAACCTGAGTCAGCCACGTGCAAGGCAAACACCCTACCCACTGTGCTATCACTCCAGACCCCTAAAGATATTTTTATTAAAGGAAAAAAATCATTGAGTGCTTTCTCCCAGCCTGTAGGGCAGTCTGATGTCTGTGGGGTTGGAAGGTGGTGGGTCGTCTCTGCCTGTCCCCTCCTGCCAGCGTCCCAGGCAGCAGCCACACCTCCTGCTTCCTTCCCAGCCCTTCCTTCCGCGCCTCCTGTCAGCTGGCGTTGGGCCCAGGTGCCTGTGACTTTCTGAGGTCACCCTGGGCTTTGCCGTTGCCGCGGGCCTCTCACCTGTGTGGTGCTTTTCTGGGTAAATTCCAGCCCTCTTCTCTCCGCTTCCAGACCCTTATTCCCTCCAACCATTTCCTTCCCGACCGGCTCTTTCTCTCCACTCAGGAACTAGAACGATTGTTTCTGGCCCCATCCAGGCCCTGCGGGGACTCCAGGTCCTGACCCAGCCTGGCCGCAGGCCTCAGAGGCAGAGGCTGCTCTCGCAGAGGATGGCCTTCCATCCATGAGCAGGATTTGAAAAAGCAGACTGCAAGGGAGTGCATGTGTGTGTGTGTGTGTGTGTGTGTGTGCACGCACCCACACGCCCGCGTGTGTGTGCATATGTGTGTTGTGAGTGCACGTGTGTGGGCGCATGCGTGCCCACGTGTGTGCATATGTGTGGTGTGTGTGCATGTGTTCCTTGTGTGTGCATGTGCATGCATATGTTTGTACATGTGTGTGCATGTATGTTCTCAGGCATGTGTGCGTGCGTGCATGTGTGTACTGGAGGAGTGAGATGGAGACAAGGAAGAAACCTTGGAAGAAATGTGGGGATGAGGGACCAGGGAATTACTCAGTGACTTAGAGCAGCATTTTCAAGCACTAACCCACAGACTGGTCTGCAGGTGTAGAAAGGTTGAAGAGGGACGGGGATGCGGGGAGAGACAGAATGGGGGCCAGGAGCTTGCCTTGCATGTGGCCAACTCCAGTTGTGCTGCCTGCAATCCCTGAGCACAGTTAGGTGTGGCGCAACCTCCCCTCCGTCCCCCGATACAAAGGCTGAAGATGATGCTTAATAGCCTGCCTTGCCGAGCACAGCACACATCTCGAGTTCAAGGCCTGGGACTGTCACATGCTCCAGGTATAGTCCAGGCAGCTCAGCCACTGGAGCCCATGATCCCCAGTGCACCACAGCTAGAGGAGTGACCCCTGTGAGCACCACAGAGAGGATGAGCAAACCTCAGGCCCAGAAGCGTGACCCTTGATGAGCACCGTGAGCAAAGAAGTGGCCCCTGCTGAGCACCACAGCCCAAATGTGCATGAGTACCACACACACCCAGGCATGTTGGGGGTCTTCATGGCAGCAGCAGCAGAGGGGGACATGAAAACACACATCGACACATGCACACATATACACATATGCACACACACATGCGCACGTGCATATGCACACGTGTATGTACATCGACACGTGTGCTCATATGTACACTTATTGCACATACGCACATATACACATATGAAGATAAGTGGGAGGGCAGGAAAAGGCAGGCGAGTGTGGCCTCGGGCCCCGTGGGAAATGTGCTCTGTTGATTTCCAACAGACACACTTCCCTGAAGACTTCCGGGCCCACATGGGGACAGGGCTGGGGGGGCAGGGGGGCCTGACCCCTGCTCTGTGGGAGGGGGGTCACTGGGACTGCTGTCCCTCAGACCGCCTTTGCTTGCTGGCCCTTAGGCGGTGCCCTGGCAGCCGGGTAGGGGTCAGCTGGGGATAGGCCGGTGTAAATATAGCCACAGGGCCAAGCCAGCCCAGCCCTGGGCTGACCCTCGGGGAAGGCTTAGGTCCTGGCTCCCTCCCCCGGGAGGCCCCGCTGCACCCCCCCCACCCCCATGTTTCTGGAGGGAGCAGCACTTCCGGTGAGAGCCCAGCAGCAGACAGCTGGAGTGAAGGTTTCCCCAGATGGGAGCAACCCATGGGCAGTCTCAGTTCTCTTCCTGGGGCCTGGGGACCCGCTCCAGAAAGCCCTGCAGGGTAAGGGCTGGTGTGAGTCCACAAATGCCAGGCTGGTCCTGGCAGCCCTGTGCGGGAGGGGGGGGGGCGGGGGTCCTTCCTTGGGAGAGGAAGGCCGTCTGAGGCATGCGCTTCCTGGGTCTCTTCGCCCAGGTCTCAGATCCTCCTCTGGTCTCCCCTCTGGTGCTTCCATCCAGCCTGGCTCTCCATGTCTGGCTGGGCCACAGCCCTGCGCTAGCGCCACCACCTCTTCCCATGTTCACTCGTGCCCCGAATCCACACTCAGTCCACCTCGGGCACGTTTGTAGGCAAAGCCTGACCCTGAGAACCCGGGAGAGGGCTCTGGCAGCTTCAGAGGGCAGAATGACACTCGCGCAAACTGACAGAAGCAGCAGCTGACATTTATTGAGCTCTTCCCAGGCTTGGGGCGAAGCAAATGTTTTACAAGCCCCATCTCCATTCATCCTCAGAACCAACCTACCAGTATCATTCCCATTTCCCAGATGTGGAAACTGAGCCTCAGAACAGGGAAGCGGGGCGGCCCCTGAGATTCCCCAAGTGGCCTCTATCCTGACTCAGTTTCAACCATCGCTCGCGCTACCTCCAGTTCTTTCTACTCTTTTTTTCTATTTTTGTTTTCTAAAAAAATATATTTTTGGGGCTGGAGCAATAGCACAGCGGGTAGGGCATTTGCCTTGCACGCGGCCGACCCGGGTTCGATTCCCAGCATCCCATATGGTCCCCTGAGCACCGCCAGGGGTAATTCCTGAGCACAGAGCCAGGAGTAACCCCTGTGCATTGCCAAGTGTGACCCAAAAAGCAAAAAAAAAAAAAAAAAATTGCTAGGGTCTGCAGATTCCTTTGACTTCTACCCCAATTAAGGTCTTCCCAGCTCTGGTTCTTCCCAAGCCTCAGTGATGGAGGGGCAGGGCCCATGGGTCTCTCAGTGAAGGAGAGCTGGGCAATGCCTGGGCCTGAGCAAATGTGTGTGAAGCCTGAGTGTGTTGAAAGCCTTTAAGAAATACACAACCAATAAATTACAAACGCCCCCTCCCCCCAACCCCTCCCCACGCCCTTCCCCCCTACATCCAAATCTACAACAGACTATGCATTGCCCCACCCCAGGGCAGGTCCCAACTCCGGACCTCTTGGTGCCCACAGCGTCCGTGGCTCTCTGTATATTTGTGGAATGAATGAATGAGCAAATGAATGAGAATTGGGAGGAGAGTACAAACACTTAGGGGGCCTGAGTCCCTGAGTCCCCGCCACGCTTGTTGGGGGCTCCAGGATCCGGAAGGTCCCACCCTCCTTTACTGGTGCTCTCACCTTTGCCCTCCCTAGGACACCCCCCTCTGCCCCAGAGGGTCCAGGTGAAGGTGGGAGCAGACGGGAGCAAGGGGAGGAGAGCGGGCCAGGCTCCACCCCAGTGGCTGAGCTCAGGAGCTCTGGGGGCCGGGGTGGCCTCAGAGACAGTACTGTTAGAATTTACAAAGCCCCTGGGATCCAAGCAATAGCAAAAGGGATAGGACGCTTGCCTTTCACATGGCTGACCCGTGTTCAGTCCCTGAAACCCAATATGGTCCCCAAACCCAGCTAGGCAGCCCGGAGTGATTCCTGAGTAAGCCCTGAGCACATGGGGTATGGGCTTCCTCCCTCCCCACCCCAAGAAAAAAATTTTTACAAAGCCCCTTTCACATTTCTCTTTGGTCCTCAGCCACCATCTTGGAACCTGGGTGTTCGTATCATTATACCCATTTTACAGATGAGGAAGCAGAGGCCGTAGAGATCCAGGGACTTCCCTAGGTTCACATAGCCAATAGGAATGAGAACATTCCATGCCCCCCGCCCCCCGAATACAGCCCCTTTTGTGCCATGTGGGGCTCAGACCAGTCTTCCAGCATGATACCGCACATGACAATGTGGCAGAGAAGGGGTGGCAGAGCGAACCTCCAAACAGGGCTGCTCTGGGCTCCAGCCAGAAAAGCCATCTCCCTTTGGGAAAGGTTCTCTGGCTTCTCCTGCCTGCTCTGCCTTGGCCCTGGGGGCCTCAGCTGTGGTTCTGGAAGGGATCGGAGGGCCCAGGAAGTGCCCCTGAACTTCTGCTTTTCCTGGGAGAGTGGCAGGCAGGTTGGTAGGGGGCACCAGGGGCCTGCGGCCTCCTTTACACGGGCATAGGCACCTCGTCGTACTCATCCTGACCTTCCTCCTCGTCAAAGGTGGCTTTGGCATCGTCAGCATCCAGCTGGAGGGGTGAGGGAGAAGAAGGGGAGAGGTGAGCACTGGATGGGTGAGCCCACCCCAGCACTGACCCGGGAGTCAGCGGGCAGCTGGCTCTGAATCCTGGACAAGTCCCACCCAGCCCCTCTGGCCCTGGGCTTAGTACTGTTCAGTGGTTTCAAAGGATGCGGAGGGCTGAGGAGATGACCCAAAGGGCTGAGCTTCTGCTCAACCTGTGGGTCCCGAGTGGCATCCCCAGCACTACACGGTCCCCCAGGAGAGGCCTGACCCCAGCACTGTGCCACTAGTCCCTGAGCACCACTGAGTGTGGCCAAAACACTGGAAAAAGAGGAGCAGCACAGCGGGGAGGGCGTTTGCCTTGCCAACAGGGTTCGACCCTGGCACCCTCTATGGTACCCCGAGCCACGCCAGGAGTGATTCCTGAGCACAGAGCCAGGAGTAAGCCTGAACATCGCCGGGTGTGGCCTCAAAACAAAAACCAGTGATCAGACCCAGGAGAGGGGTGCCCCTGAGGGAACCCCACAGTGATCGGGATCTGGGGAAGAATTCCATCAGAGGAGCAACTGTCCAAACGACCAGGAAGGCCAGAAAAGGCGGTGCTCAGCAACAGGGACATGGGACCGTCCTGGACTCCCTCTCAGCCCCTTGTCATTCCCCCTGCCCCGCCCTTGGCAAAGGGGAGCAAAGGCCAGGGCCTGGTCAGGGGATATGGCCATGCCGGGACTGGACCGAGGAACCAGGCGCCTCTCTGCAGTCTCCCTTTGCCTGAGGACGCCCTGCCCGGCTCTCACCAGCTATTGGCTCTGTAGCACCCCCAGCTCAGCAGGTGGGGCCCCCCTACTCACACACTGGAGCTCCAGGTTCCGGAAGATGAGCGGCAGCAGGAGACGCCGCAGGGGCACGGTGAGGATGAGGATGAAGGGCAGCGCCAGGGAAGTGGTGGGGAAGGTCTTGATTGTCCACAGCACGACCAGGCAGATGATCTGGATGGCCGTGAACAGGTGCATGCGCCAGGTCTTCACCTGCGGGCACAGAGCCGGTCACTGCCTGCCGCCCCCCTCCCCCACCCGCAGGACCCCCACCCCCTTCCCAGGCGCCCCCGGAGGGTACCCGCTTGACGAAGGGTACATCCGGGTGGTACTTGGGTGGCTTGAATAGAAGCAGGATCCGGTCAAAGAGCTGGATGCCGCTGAGTGAGGTGACCCCCATGTAGAGGAAGATGCCGAACAGCACGGCCACCGGGATGCGGGACAGGATGGGCCCCATGAGGATGGACAGGCCTGCGGGGACCAGCATGTGCTCAGCCGCAGGCTACTGGCCTCCAGCGCCCACGGGCATTTAAGCCACAGAGACCACACCGAGCCCTTCCGTAGGTCTAGAAGCAGTCAGGTGCAGCGAGGGGAGGCCATGTGCTGCGGTCACACAGCTGGGAAGGGCAAAGCCAGGCCCGTCACCTCCACGGGCCCCCAAGGTCAGAGCAGACCCCTTCCCACGTGTCCCAGTCCAGGGGACCTTCACCACCCTCCCCTCTAAATTCCAGCCCTCCAGAAACTTCTGGCCTCTTCATCAGCACCCACCAGGCTGGACTCTCTGCCACTTGGGTCAACCCCAGGGACCCCTGTGTCCTTTCCTCTTACGCCTGGAGCACTGTCCCTTACATTCGCCAGGCTAGAGAGACCCCAGGGGATGCTAGTGAGTCTTCATGGTGCATCATGGAAACTGAGGCACGCAGGGATTCTGACCCAGTGGGGGGTTGTCTCTGCCCTCTGCTGGGAGGCTCTGATGTGGGCGCCTATGCAGAGCAGACCTCCATAGGGGGACCTCTTGTACCCCAGCTCAGAAGCCATCCCAGTCCTGGTTCCCACCTGTGAACAGCTCAGCCTGGGAAGCATGTGTGGGGCGGGGACCAGGCTCCCAGATGGCAGGGCTGCAGGGGCCCTGGACCCTTGGGGACAGGGCTGGAACCAAGGGTAGTGGGGGACAGTGCTGGGCGCACTCACCCACAAGCAGGGAGACCAGGAGCCCGCTGATCCGCTGCTCTTTCACCTCCTGGATCTGCGCGGGCGCCCCGGGACTGCTGGCTTTGCCCATGACGGTGAGGGCATTGGAGTGGGTGACGGAGCGCACGGTGGTGGCGCTGAGCCAGGGCATCCCAAAAAGGGCGGCCAACCCGCCCATGCCCATAACCAGTAGCAGGTCCAGATGGAAGCCGGAGCCTTTGATCAACTTGCGCTCGGGTTTGCTGATGATCAGCCTAGGGGGAGGGGGGAGGGGTAAGCCCTGCCTTGCCTGCGCCTCCCCCTCCCCTCCCTGGTTGGCACCTGTTTGACTTTTTATGCCCATCTCCTTGATGTTCATGCTTCCTCTGCCTCCCCTCCCCTTCTAGAGACCCCCAAGGAATGGACTCCTAAGTGCAAGAGAAGGTCCACAGACAAACTGGGCCAAGGCCAGTGGAACAAACTCTGGGAGCTTTACTGGATCTGGCACTGAAGGCTGCATCTCTCCCCAACTCCCTCCCTCCCTCCCCCCTCCTTCCCTCCTCTCTCCCTCTCTCCCTCCCCCTCCCTCTTTCTCTGTCTTTCACTCCCTTCCCCTCACTCTTCTCCGTCTCTCCCTTTCTCCCTTTCTCCCTTCCTCCCTTCCTCCCTCCCTCTTTCCCTCTCTCCCTCTCTCCATTTCTCTCCCCCATCCCCCCTCTTCTTTTTCATTTTATTTTTTTAAATTTTTTTTTGCTTTTTGGGTCACACGCGGCAATGCACAGGGGTTATTCCTGGCTCTGCACTCCAGAATTACTTCTGGCGGCGCTCAGGGGACCATATGGGATGCTGGGAATCGAACTCAGGCTGGCCGCGTGCAAGGCAAATGCCCTACCCGCTGTGCTATTGCTCCAGCCTCTTCTTTTTCATTTTAAGTCTTAGGACTATAGAATCTCAGACTCCATCTCTGCATTTTGGCCTTAAGCCCTAGAGCCTTTGTGTTTGGGCATCTTCCGACAGTGCTCAAGAGACCATGTGGATTCAGCCCAGATCTCTGGCATATGCTCCAGCCCATGGAGCGCTCTTTCTAGCCCCCATAATTTTTCTTTTTTTTTTAATTTTGTTTTGGTTTGGGGCCACACCCAGTGATACACAGGGGTTACCCCCGGCTCTGTGCTCAGAAATTACCCCTGGCAGTGCTTGGTGGAACCATATGGGATGCCGGGAATCAAACTCCAGTCGGCTGTTTATGAGGCAAGCAACGGACCTGCTGTGCTGTCTCTCCAGCCCCTGTAATTATTTTTCTTGAGGAGGGCTCCCTAAATGATACATCGTCTGGCCCCCACAGAGTCATAATCTGCCTGTTGCCACCTCTGCTACTGAGGAGGCCACGTGCCCCCTGCATTGCTGTCTCTTTCCTCCCCGCTGACCCTCCCAGCCCCGCCTGCCTGGCTCTTACGTGGTGATCTGGGACTCAAGGAAGATGAGGATGAAGACGAGCATGGCAGGTAGGGCAGAGGCGAACATCATCCAGGTGGGGAACTGGGAGTGCAAGCCCAGCGGATGGATGACCCAGCCCCGGGCTGAGGAGTTGGACACGGTGAGACCTTTGGGCACGCTGAGTTTCTGCGGCGGGCGGGGGGGGGGGGTGAGGTAGAAAGTAAGAAGACGGGGGAAGGGGTGAGGGGTGGGTAGTAGTGGGGACAGAGGGAGCCCAGCTCCTGGGCACTTGGAAACTGATCTTTTTTGGTCTAGTTTTTTTGGGCCACACCCAGTGGTACTCAGGGCTTTCTCTGGGCTCTGTGCTCAGGGACCACTCGGGGGACCCAATAGGATGCCGGGGATTGAACTCAGGTCAGCCGTGTACAAGGCAAGCACCCTCCCCCCTGTGCTATCGCCCCAGCCCCGGAAACTAATCTTGATTCCCAGCTTGGTACTCAGCCCTGGCCTCGATTCCTCCTGTGCATCCTCTCATCCCCAGCTTGACAGGTGGCTCAGCGAGGTTATGTGACTTGTCCTGTGTCACATGGCTCTCCATAGAACTGAGGGACTGAGAGTCTTCCCTACTGTCCCGGCTTAGAGAGTGAGAGGCTATCTGGCCCAGACCCTGGCCTGAACCAGAATGACCCTAGAGGGTTATGGGAAGAACGTGGGGATCCTGGGGGAATGTAGGGATAGATTGGGGGTCACCCTAGCTTCAGGTTTGGGAAAGTGACTGGAGAGGCACAGTAGGCTGGGGTGGGAGTGTGTGTGAAATGAACGACCGGGAACAAGAGTCACCTGCGTGTAGGTGTCCTGGATTAAGGTGTCCACCACAACCATGATCAGGATGGAGATAGGAACCCCGAAGTCCCCAATGACCCGTCGCAGCTGAAGGAAGGAGGAAAAACCAGTGCTCAGGGCCCCATGCGCCCTCTCTGGCCCATTCTTCAGTGGGCCCTGTGACCCTCAGTGGGCCTGTTCCGGTCACCTTTCCCTCACACGCCCTTACTCTGCCCCAGGGCTTTTCTTCCCCCCGCCCCCCCAGGAGCCCTTTCTAGGAGTCTCAGAATGCTAGGACCTCATTTCATCGACAGGGAAACCAGCTCCCCACACACAACCTCGCCCCTGGACGCTCAGCATGGGCTTGCTGAGAGGCAGCGGGGCTTGCTTGAAGAGAGAAATCCCGAGTGAGGAGGGGCGCAGAGAGGCTTGAACTGGGAGTGGGGTTTCAGGGTGAGGGCAGGGGTCACTGGCTTGGGGATGCTGTGGGTGGGGGGGACTGTGGTCAGGGCGAGGACAGGCAGAGGGGAGTGCCCACCTTGCCAGGGAAGTAGGAGCTGTTCTTGAACTTGCGCAGCATCATGGCCAAGAAGAAGGTCGCAGCCATGAGCACAAGAGAGAGCAGTGCTGTGTTGGGCAAAGGGGCCTCTGGCTTGGGTACCACATTCACATTGTGCTGATAATTCTTCTGCAGTGGGTGTTCTTGAAAGATCTGCGTAAAAGACAAAACATCTTAATTCCACCTATCCATCCACCTTTCATCCATCTCCCATCCATCCATCTATTGATCCATCTTGTATTCTTTCATCCATCCATCCATCATCACCCATCCATCTTTCCATAATCACACATCCATCCATCATCTTCCACCCACCCATCCATCCATCCATCCATCCATCATCACCCATCTATCACCCATCCATCCATCATTACCCATCAATTGTCTGCCATCCATTCATCCATCCATCATCATCATCCATCCATCCATCCATCCATCATCACCTATCCATTGTCTCCCATCCATTTATCCATTCATCATCACCCATCCATCCATCATCATCCATCTGTCCATCCATCATCATCCATCCATCCATCCACCCATACACCAAGCCATCCATCTCCCTTCCATCATTCTATCCTTCCATCTCCCACCCGTCCGTCCATCTACCCATCCATCCTCTGATCCATCCAGTCCCCATCCACCCACCCATCCATCCATCCACCCTCCCGCCCATCCCATCTCCCTCTCTACTTCCCACCTCCCTTCCTCCCTTCTTTCATCCATCCACCCACCGATCCATCCATGTACCTATTTTATCCTTAGCTGGGAATGGAGGGGCATTTTACAACCTGCTTTTAATTTTTAACTGAGGACTAGACTAGAAGCTGGGTGGGTCCTAGAGGCAGCGAGTATGTGTGACAGCACCTGTGAGGCATGAGCAGACTGAAGGGGAGGAACTTAGTGCTAAGGAGCTTCCTGACAAGGGCTCTGGAGGCTCGGAAACAGAGAGCTCTAGTTCCTAAGACTCACGGGCAGATACACAGCGCCCACCCTCCTCCCATATGCATTGTGGGTCCCAGTGGAGTTGAGAAGCATGGAGCCAAGGATGGAGGGGCCTCCATCCACATGCCCTGTCATTCTGGAGGGCAAAGATGGGAAAAGGAATGGGGTGTCAGGGTTTTCTGGACTTCCTCATTCTCAGAATCACACACATTCGCCCCTTCATCCTTCTGCGGACAAGGGCAAACGGGGGTGCTCTCTCGTGCACAGTCCCGGAGAGGGTCCCTAAGCAGCAGCTGTCCATAGGTATATTGTTACAGTAACATAAGTGGGCACCCCAGTGTCCTATAGACCTGGGTGAAGGCTCTCGGGGGTGCCAGAGTCCCCAAGCACACCCCTGCTTTGGGACCTTCCGGCGAATGCCCACCTTGAGCAGATTTTTGAAGGTCTCAAAGATGAAGATGAGGGAGATGAGGATGGAGAAGATCTCCTGGGTGTAGCGGGAGATGAAGCGGACCAGGAAGCTGCCCTCGAAGGCCACCACCAGCATCACCAGCAGGATGAGCCAGAAGCCGACCCACACGCGGCCCACAATATACTCCAGACCTTGGTCATTACAGAACTGTGGGGGGCAGCGGGAGGGGAGGAGTCAGCTGGGGCCCCAGGGCTTGGGCAGGGGTGGGGGGTGGGAAGGTTGGCCGCAGGGAGGGGACGCGGGCAGGGATGGAGCTACCTTGTAGAAGGACTCCTCAAACACGAGCAGGGGGCCCGAGAAACCGACCACCAGTAGCGGCTGCGCACTCAGCAGCGCGAACAGGATGCCCTGCACGGCTGTGGAGATGAGCAGTTCTGACACCCCCATCTGGTTCTGGGTCTTCTCTCCTGTGTGTGTGGGGGGGAAGCAGTGACAGGCTCAGGCTTGGGTCGGCGGCCCCCACTGCCCTGCCCCTTTCCCCCACCAGAGCCTTTCTCAGAGGTCACATGAGGAGTCAGAGCTGACGGAGGGGGCCGGCCTGAGGGTCTGAGGTGAGTGAGGGGCTGGGGGTACCCAGGGGACACGGACTGACCCAGGAGGCCCCCAAACGTGACGGCAGGTGACAGGGCAGCGAAGTAGATGAAGATGACAGCAGCCAGGACCTGGGGGCTGAATCCGTCCGTGATGTCGCTCAGGTAGTGGGGATAGCGGCGCCGGATGTCACGCACCAGGCCCCCGAAGAAGTGCCCTGTGCGCTGCAGAGGGTCATCTGCGTCCCCGGCAGCTCCTAGGCCCCCACCGAGGTCTGCAGAGAGCGAGAGGCCTGGGGTGATGGGGGAGAAGGGCGGGCGGGGGCGGGGTGGGGCGGGTGGGGGCAGGTAGGGCGGAGTGGGGAGGGGAGGCATGCAGATCCTACCGAGGCCCTTGTAGAAGCTGGGGTCCGGCTGGGCGGCACTGGGCAGGTACCGCCTCCGCAGCAGCTCCTGCTGTAAGGGCACCAGGCTGAGCAGGGCCTGCTCCGAGGGGACGTCGGTGGGAGGCAGCACCAGGCTGCAGTCCAGGAAGCCCTCCAGGTTGCGCACCAGCTCCCCCCGGCTCTGGGCCAGGTAGGCGTCTGTGCGGAACACCTGTGGGCAGCAGAGGGGTCAGTGCGACCAGGAGTGACCCCTGCAGCGAAGCTGGGAGCCCTCTCCCAGCTCCCTGCGGGCTTGTCCTACCCCCCACCCCCAACACCTATCAAAGGACTCGGGAGGACTCAAGCGAAGCCAAGTGGACCAAGAGAGAGCAAACCAGGCCGAACCAGGTGGAGGCGGGTTGGCGCGGCCGAGGCCCACCGGGCCGGATTGGTCAGGGCAAAGCCACATGGGGCGGGTGTGAACCAGCGGGTGTCACACCACTGGAGTGAAGGACGCAGCAGCGGGTGGGCCCCGGCCCCGCCTCACCCGCTCGGACATGAGGGTGGCGGCCGCCCGGCCCAGCTGTGTGTAGTTGGTATGAGGGTCCTCAGGGCCCAGCAGCACGACGAGGAAGCGCACGGGCACCGGCAGCTCCATGGCCTCCAGATCCACAGCCTCCCGCAGCCTCACGAAGCCCAGCACCTGGCGCTCCAGGAAGGCAGCGCGGCCTGGGGGACGCAGCACAGGGCAGGGGTCAGCGGGCGCCCCACTGCACTCCAGACACAGGAGGGACAGGCCAGGGGTGAGCCGGGGGGCTCTGCCTCTTACCCACGAGCACCAACGTGGCCTCTGAGTCCGGGGGGAGCTTCTCCAGGACTCCTGATGACGAGCGTCCCTCGGGGCCCCCCTCGCCCTGGGGGAACGGGGCAGTCAGGGGGAGCCTCTAGCCCTGCCCAGGAGACCCGAACATCCAGCCCCTCCCTCCCCCATCCTTCCCTTCCCTCTGTTCACCCCCATCCCTAGACACCCCGTGCCATCCTACCTGTTGGCAGAAGAGCTGGGTCTCCAGAGACGGGCTCTGGGGGAGCAGGGGCTGTGAGGGCTCCCCGGAACGCGTCACCACCGTGGGCTTCACACCGCCCAGGGCCGCCAGGTCTCTGGCATGGCTGTGGGACAGGGACTGCGTGAGCTGATAGGGGGAGGCCCACAGCAGAGGGGGGTGGTGGGAGAGGCCAGGACTCAATCCCTGAGCAGACCCAGGAAGGCTGGAGACTAGGCTTAAGCGGGACTCTGAGGGAACCAGCATGTTTATATTTGTTTTGTTTTATTTCATTTTGTTTAGGTTTGGGGCCACACCAGGCGGTGTTCAGGGCTGACTCCTGGTTTTGAGCTCAGGCGTCACACTGCTGGTGGGGCTCGGGGAAACTCTATGGGGATAGAACCCAGGCCAGCCAGGAGTAAGGCCAGCGCCCTGCCCACTGTGCTATCACTCTGGTTCTGGGGTGTTTCTGGTTTTGGCTTTTGGGGGTCACACCCAGCAATGCTGGGGGCCATGCGGGGCTGGGCACAAAGCAGGGCTCCTGCACATCAGCATAGGTTCCGGCCCTTATGGGGCCTCCCCAGGCCCCTGAGCAGAACCAGAACGAAGAACCAAGCGGGAAGAGCCTTGGCATCTGCCCTCTGGAGAGAGTGGCCCAACTCTGAGTGCGGAGACAAGCCCCGACTCCCACCAGCCGCCGCACACAGAAGCTGAGAAGCAGAAGCCACTGTGGGAGACAGCGGGCCCTGGCCTGTGAGAGGTGGACCTGCGCCTCCCTTCCCTGGAGTTGGGCAGGCGGAAGCGGGGGGGCGGGCGGTCTTGGGGGGTGGGGGGCGCACCTGTGTTGCAGCAGCAGGACCCTCAGCAGCTCATCCCGGTCTTGAGGCCGGACCTGCTCCTCAAAGACAAATCTGTCCAGCAGCTGGTTGGCCACCCCCGCCAGGGAGGTTTCCTGCAGATCTAGGAGGACAGAGCCTGCGAACAAGCAGTGGCAGGGAGGTGAGTGGCATGGGGGGGTGGGGGCAGGGGGGAACACAGCCCACCCCCCAGTCCTCGAGGCGGGCGTCCCCCGGGGGGCTCACCCTTGGCGAAGGCCCTTTGCAGCTCCAGGAGGCTCCAGAAGGTGAGGTAGGAGAGGTGTGGGCGGCCCCACGCCCCGTCTGGGCCCAGGTTCTCCTCTAGCCGCAACCAGCGCCCTGCCTCCATCCAGCGCAGCTCCTGGTTCTTCTCGTCCATCACCAGCTCCTGCAGCTCCACGTAGACCTAGCGCGGGCTGGAGTTAGGCCTGGGGTACAGGAATGCCCGGACCTGCGGGGTCCCCTCACTAGGCTCCCGTAGATGTTGGCAGGAGGCTTGAGGGGTGCAGGGAGCGGCGGGACCCGCACACCCTCCTGCTTGAGTATCTCTCTGGGAGACCGTGGGGAGAGGATGCAGGGCCCGTCGCGAGTTGACCCCAGCCTCCTGGCCAGGCCTCTCACCCCATTTCAAGGCAGTTGTCGAGGGCACCTAAAGTGTATGTGTGTATGTGTGCGGGGGTGGGGGGTGCCCCTGGCACCCATGAGTGACTTCTCTGGAGCTCTGGGCTCTTCTGGGAGCAGGGAACCTTGCTGAGGCAAAGCCCCTTCCTGAGCCATGAGACAACCCCTGCCCAGTGTGGCCGTGGGGGCCTGGGCAGAGGAGAGAGGCCCTGTCCCGGGAGACCCGAATGGCCCTGCCCTCAGCAGCTTCCTTCGGGGTACATTCCTTCTAGTTCCTCCCGCCCCAATTCTTTCCAGGCCCTGCTTTGGGAGTCCCCAACCTGAAGCCCTCCCTCTGTGCCTCCTTTCCCCGGGACCGTGGCAGGTCCCTGACCGCAGGGGTCAGTGGGGTCCTCACCTCGTGGGTGCCTGGCTGTGATGTCTTCTGAATTTCAGTGACTGTCTGTTCGGCGACATACACTGAAAACCAGGGGCCAGTTAGTGTGGCTCCCCGCAGTCCATCCTGCAGGCGCCCCTGCACCCGCACCCACCAGGAGCCGAGGACAGCGGGGAGGACGCCCCTCGGGGCCCACCCCATCCCTGCTGCCCGCCCGGCTGCCCCGGGGGCCTGTTCTCATCCCAGCCTGGTCCTGTGGCTCCCCACAGAGCACTGCATCAGGAGGGGCCCCGGATCCCTCCACGGTGTTGGTGGGGTGTCTCTCCCACCATGAGTGGTGAGGCCTGAGGGGCAGCAAGGGGGCCGGGGCACCCCTCACTCACCACCATCAGCGACCCCTTCCCTGCCTCTGGCCCACCTGCCTCCCAGATCCTGCCAGCCCACAAGCTTCTCACGGCCTCCACCTGTGCGCTGGTGCCAGGGTGGGGTCTGCCCCTTATATATCCCCCTGCCCCGGCCCCCCCATGCCCAGAGGGGCCTCTGGCCTTCCATGCCAAGTGGTAGCACTTGAGTCCTGTTGACAGTAAACAGGGGCCTGCCAGGGGCTCCCCACCAAGACCTTGGCAGGCCTGAGAGGTTTCCTGATGTCTCTCTGTGGCCCCCCCATGACCCCCTACTTCTCACTGAGCCCTCTAGATGGACCTGTGTTCCCAGAGGAAGCTCAGCACCCGTCCTGGAGCCTGGCCTTGGGTGGGCCCACCCCACCTTTGTCCAGACAGGCCGGCTGCCCCCATCTAAGGGGCACGGTGACGGGTGACTGGCCCTGTCCCCACCCCGGGCGCCTCCTGTGATCATTTCAAACAAAAGTCTGTTTATGTGCCAATCACCCAGGATTGTGGGCGAGCTGACCCGGGCAGGGTGGAGCGGGGACGGCGAATTCCCCAACTGTCCCGACAGGGCTTGGCGGCTCATCCCGTGGCGAGGGGTGGGTGGGTGGCGGGGGGTGGGGGGCTCACCTGCCGTCTCCTCCACCACCACCTGGGGCACGGGGAGCCCCGGGTCTTCATATTCCTCCGGCCCCATTATCTCCTCCAACCCCTCTTCGTAATCCTCCTGTGGGGAGAAGTCATTGGAGGGCTGTGAGGGTCTCTGCTCCATGCAGAGAGACCCCCGGGATGGCTCCCTACATCCCCAGCACCCCGGCCACCCCCTGCACTTACCTGTGAGTCCCCCATGGCACTATCCTGGGTGTGTGATGGCCCGAGTGTCCGCAGTGGGTGGTCTCAGCCTCCAGCATAACCCGCCCTGCGGGTCCCTGTGAAGGGGTTCGGGGCAAAGGCTGAGGGGGGCGCAGAGCAGCTGGGGTCCCCTGCAGCCGGAGCTGCATTTGGGTCAAGGGGGATTCCAGGGGGAGGTGGCAGGTCAGTTGGAAGACGTAGGGGTGGGGTTCGGGAAGGCACAGGGTCAGATGGGGGGGTCCGGTGGGGGAGGGGAACCCTGACTGGCAGTGATCTGGGGGTGTTTGGAGAGCAGGTGTCCTTCAGTCCCAATTCGTTCTCTGTCCCCCCCGTCCTCCCTGGCTTCTCTACCTGCCTGTCTCTGGGACTCAGATAATGATGGGAGTATGGCAGGGCCCTCCCTGGGGGGCTTAGCTCCCCTGAGTTTCCAAAACCTCCTCCTCCGGATCCTGTTTTCTGCTGGGCAGGGCCTCAGTGTCTTTGGTGAGGTCCCCAGGGAGAGGCCCACAGGTCCTTAATGGTGGGAATCCGACTTTATTTATTTATTTTGCTTTTGAATTCTGTCTCTGGTTCTGTCCCACAATCTTCCACCAGCCTCCTGACCAAGCCCTTCCCAGTCTCAGGGCCTTTGCACCTGCATGCAGGGCTCTCCTCTCTGCCCCAGAATCACTTCTGCACATTCCTCCCTGGTCCCTGTGTCATTCTCAGATTTTCTGATGCTTTTTGTAGCTCTACTCTTGGCCACACCCCTTATAGGGAGCCCTGGATGTCCCAGGTCCCACTGACCCAAGCTCTCCAAAGTCCCCACTTCTAGTGGTCCTGAGAAGTGACTGTCAGAATGACTTTCCTGGGGGCCGATAGAGTAATAGTACAGCAGGTAGGGCATTTGCCTCGTGTTCGGCCCACCCCAGTACGATCCCCGGCATCCCATATGGTCCCCTGAGCACCAGCAGGAGTGATTCTGAGTACAGAGGCAGGAGGAACCCCTGAGCACTGACATGTGTGACCCAAAACAAACATACAAGAAAGAAAGAAAGAAAGAAAGAAAGAAAGAAAGAAAGAAAGAAAGAACGACTGTTCTGGTAGCTTGGGGGCTCTGAGCAGGGAGCCAGGGTGACCAGGACGCAGCAGTAGACCCCATGGGGCTGAACCCCACACACGGGGGGCTGTGCTCTAGCCTTGTAGGCGCCGCCTAGCCCTCAGCAGGACCAGGGCAGAGGGGGATGACGCGCACCTCACACCCGGTGGGCAAGAGGGCAAGGGCGGGTACAGAGGTGGGGTGGGACAGTGGCCTCAGCCTCGGTGGGAACAGGCTGGGACTTGAGGGTCAGGACAGAGTTCTGAGGCCTTGGGACTTGGAGGTTGCAGCCTCCCCCACCTGCTCCTAAGGTCCCAGTCCTGACCGGGGAGACAAGCCGGGGCACATGAGGTGCCAAGTGGCTCAGGGGCTGGCCTGCCCCCCCACAGCCCAGTCATGCTCGGAATGTGCCGGGTGCCAGGGCTCTGTCTGGCAGGAGGAAGAGTAGGTCTCATTGTTGGCTGCAGCGGGGTGTGTCTGAGGCCGGGGCGCTGCCTCTGGCTCCCCGGGCACCTGCAGGGCTCAGAGGAGCCCAGGCTGGAGACTTGGGGTCTGCCGGGGGGGGATGTGAGGGCAGAGGGCAGCATCGGGGCCAGGGATGACCCTTTCCGTGGGCAGCGGCACCCTGCTGTAAGCACAGACCATGGCCGGGGCAGGACCCAGAATAACTTCTGGTCCTGGGGAGCAGCGAGGGCCTCAGGGGGTCTCAAGCCCCAGGGGCATAGTCCCTCCTGCGTGGGGCTGGTCCCAGCCTCGTCCTGCTTCTCCCTTTCCTGTACCCCCCGACCCCAGCCTCAGCGTATGCCCCCAAGACCCCTTAATCTTTCTTCCTTCTCTAACCTTGTCCCAGTCTGGCTCTCAGACCCCTTAGCCTCATGGGTATTTTAGGGGCCTCCTCCCCACCCCCCTGGGGCATGGAACTATGACCTTCTTGTCCCCTCTGGGGGCTGGGGTGCTGAGGGAGCCCCAGGGCCTGGGGTCCCCTCTGCCTCTATGCCACCCAGGGCCCCTGCTTCCTCTCCAGGACTCAGCTCCCTTCTGCCCCATGTGGGGGCCTCTCCTCCAGGTCTGAGACCTCAGTAGGAGGCGGAGAGAACAGGAGGAAACTCGCACCCAGCTAGACCCTTTGGGGTGTGCCCAGATTGCTGCTCCCGCCGGGACAAGCGCCCCCACCCCGGGCAGCCCTTTCCTGCCCGGTGCTGATAAGAGCGGGTGCCCCACTGACGCCCCGTGTCTGGAAGTGTACCAAACACCTGGCCTGGCCAGCCCGCGGGGCCAGGACAGATAAGGGGGCACACAGCGTCAGGAGCCAGGCGGAAGCAGCTGCAGGGACAGCTGATGGCGGGAGCCCCACCTTTGTGTCTCCCCCACCCCTCCGTGCCTGCCTCGCTGTGCAGTCTCAGGATTCCTCCACGGAGGACTTGAGCCCCTCGGTGAAGGGAGTCACGGCATGCACCCCGTTTTACAGAAGAGAAACTGAGGTGAGGCGGCCATGGCTGGGAGCTGGGACTAAATCCTGGGCTCCAACCTCTCGCACCAGCTCTAAATGTTATGCCCGGTGGCCATCCAGAAGGGGACAGCTCACCATGGCTCTTGGCCGTCCGTAAGGACCCTAGGGTTTCATGGCCCAGCCCTGCATGGTCTGTGTGACCCTGGGCGGGTGACTCTACCTCTCCATTAAGGACCCCTCCTAGGAGGGCCCAGCATGGCACTCAGGCTGCCCTGAGTTGGGGTTTCTCTGGCAGTGCTGGGGCTGAAACCCGACTTCCTCTCACAGGGCAGGTACCCCCAGTGCCAACTTACCTGTCCCTGGCCAGGCAGTGACAGGTTCTGCCCACCCCCCTAAAGATCGGTGTGTCCAGGACCGTGGCCACGCTGGGCCAGGCTCACTCTGGCCCCTTCCCCCCTCCCCCCAATCACCCTCCAGTTCCCGCGGAATTTGCCTGGGAACCCCTCTTCCCCCAACGCGGCCAGGGTGGACAGGGTCAAGTGCCCCACTGAATGTCCCTGGATGTCCCAAAAGGGAGGCAGTGTCCGCCCACAGCTTTCCTCTGAGGCGGACGTGGGGGCACCCCATACTCCGCAGAATGAGGGTGCTGGAGGATGATCCCAGGGGCCAGGGCCAGGGACCCTCCCCCAGGGGCTCGGACAAGCACTGTCCCCAGTGCACACACTCCGGCCCTGCTGCCTTGTGGTGGCCACCACTGTCCCCAGCGCAGGTGCCTTTGGGCCTGTGCCCCGAGGGTGACCCACACACCATAGCCTCACCCCACCCACCCGCACCCCTCCAAGGTCAGGGCCCACTGCCTCCTGGAGCACAGACTGAGTCCATGAGCCCTGGGGGCCTCCCCCCGCCCGCCAGCCCCGCTCACCTGCTCTCGAGTCTCGAGGTCCCCTGTGCCTCCTGAAGCCGCCTGTATCCTCGGCGCCCAGCAGGCTGTGCTTGCTCTGAAGGCAGAAGGTCCTGGCACCCGCGCCCCGGGGCAGCTCGCAAACCCCTGACTCATGCCCCCGCCTCCTAATCTGCCCGCCCCACCAGCCCGGGAGCCCCTTTCCACCCCCCCCACCCCACTCCCAGGGGTGCTCGGTAAACAGCGTTATCTCTCACCCACATCTGGACAGTCCTGAGTCTGGCCCACCGCACCCCAGCTGCCCCCAAGGCTCCCCACTGGTCCTGGGATTCCCCCGTTCCCTGTAGAGTTGGGGTGACGGGGAGCTCAGTGCTGGCTGCCTCCCCCGGGACCTGCCCTCGGGTCTGGGCGACCCTGTTCTGCCTCTATCCATCTTCCTCCTGGCCAGGTCTAAGCTCCGAGCTGAGGATGCCCAGGCACTGCCTCCTCCTCCTCCTCCTCCTCCTCTTCCTGCTCCTCCTGGGGTCCTCCCTGGGGGGCGGCGCTCCTCCACCCTCTGCCCACGGGCATCAGTGCGGGGCCCCCAGAATGGGCAGGCCCCTCTCGTCCCTGCCCTAGACTAGGGTGACAGCCTCTTTCTCCCCAAGACCCCGCTGGCTCCCAAGAGTGGCCACAGAGGGCCAACCTCTCCCCTCTCCCCATCCACCTCTCCCCATTCACCGGGAGCAACACCCGGGCAACAGAGCAGCCGCCGGCTCCGGCTCGGGCTCCGGCCCGGCACACAAAGCCCCAATGTCTGGGCACACTGGCTCCTCTGTGGGCTGAGCAGCCTGGCCCCCGGGCCAGAACAGCGGCATTCTCGGCCCCCGCCCCCCACGGGCCAGCCTCGGCTCCCAGCCACCGACCTGGCACGATTGCCAAAGAGGCTGCCAGGTGAGTTCCGAGGGGCAAGAATGAAGGAGGGCTGAAAGACAGAACCAGGTCTTGTGGTCGCGGCTCCGGGCACAAGGAGCAGCTGGCCCTGCTCAGTGCCCACAGCGGCTGCCAGGAGTCCCTGGGCAAGGGCCTGCCCACCTGGGGGCGTTGGGACCTCCTCTGCTGTATGCGAGGTCTACGGTGCAGCCCACAGGGTGGGGAGACCTTGTTTTGTCCTCAAAATATAGAAACCTGGGGCTGGAGTGATAACACAGCAAGTAGGGCATTTGCCTTGCAAGCAGCCAACCCGGGTTCGATTCCCAGCATCCCATCTGGTCCCCTGAGCACCGCCAGGAGTAATTCCTGAGTACAGAGACAGGTAATCCCTGTGCATTGCCGGGCGTGACCCAAAAAAAGCAAAAAAGAACAAAAATAGAAACATGGGGCATAGGGCTTATGGCGCCTGCCTCGTGGCTGATGCAGGTTTGATTCCCAACACTGCATAGGGTCCCCTAAGCCCTGCAGAGATTCCTGAGCTCAGAGCCAGGAGTAAACCCTGAGCACTATCGGGTGTGGCCCAGAAACCAAAAAAGAGGGGAAAATTAGAAACGTGAGGCAGGGGTGGAGATGTGGCAATGCAGCAAGTCCAGAGTCAGGCCTGCAGCTCACCACCAGACCTGGCAGAGATATCAGTCTTGCGACCTGCATCTCTCGGTCCAGGCCCTGCGAGCTGCTTACACCTTTTGCCCCAGGCACTGTTTGACAGAGGAGAGCGTTTCCCCGGGGCCGGGGAGATGGTGCCCAGCTAGACCAATGCCTGAGACATACAGGAGCCTGTTTCTTTTCTTTTTCTTTACATGTTTTTAATTGAATCACTGTGAGATACACAGTTATAAAGTTGTTCAAGATTGAGTTTCAGTCATAGGATGCTCCAACACTCATGCCCTCACCAGGGTACATTCCCCACCACCAATGGCCTGCCTCTATGGCAGACACTGTTCTCTCTCTCTCTCTCTCTCTCTCTCTCTCCTTTTTCTCTTACTCTTTCTCTGTCTCTGTATCTCTTTCTCTCTGTCTTTCTCTTGTCTCTCTCCCTCGCTGTCTCTCTCTGTTTCTCTCTCTGTCTCTCTGTCTCTGTCTTTCTATCCTCTCTCTCTCCTCTCTCTCTCTTTCTCTCTGTCTATGTATCTCTTTCTCTGTCTTTCTCTTTGTCTCTCTATCTCTCTCCCTCTCTGTCTCTCTCTGTTTCTCTGTCTCTGTCTCTCTGTCTCTCTATATCTCTGTCTCTGTCTCTGTCTCCCTGTCTCTGTCTCTCTCTCTCTCTCACTCTCCTCCTCCTGGGCATTACAGTTTGCAATACAGATACTGAAAGGTTGTCATGAACGTCCCCTTACCTACTTTCTGCACTTAGTTCTTGTCCAGAGTGATCATTTCCAACTACCATTGTCACAGTGGTCCCTTCTCTATCCTAACTGACCCCCTCTACCTGTGGCAAGCAACCAACAGTGGCCCAGTCCTCCCGGCCCTTGTTTCCGCTGTCCCTGGATATTCGTCTTATAGCGTGTGTTTTGGTATCGCACAAATGAGTGCTGTCATTCTCTGTCTGTCCCACCCAGGATCCTGTTTTCATCCCCAGCTTCACTGGGCCTCCTGGGGGAACGCCGTCCCCCGCGCCCCACACAGGGAAAAGCAAGCCAGCAAAGCCGAGAAGTAGAGTGGCCTGCCTCTAGGAAGACCAGCCCAAGGCTGGGCACGGTGCCCAGTGGTTATCTCTGCCCCCCAAGCCCCTCCGAGGAAATACTGTTTATTGTTGTTATTGCATTTCACAGACCAGGAAGCTCAGATGGGAGACAGGGGCAGACTGGCCTGGGCCCTGGGCTGGCGGGCTGGTGGACGGGGCTCAGCTTGTGCTGGCCCCCATGACCTGGACCTCACTCCTGCCTGGACAGGACACTCTCTGGCCCTTGTAACTGGGGGTCCTCTCCAGAGGCCCTCCTCACTCTCCAGCCAGGAAGGGCCTCTGACCCCAGCCCTGGCCAGCTGGGGCAATTCTGCCTGCTCTGCCTACTACCCCTGGCCCTGCTGGGATGTGGGGTGCCCACCAGGATGTGGGGGTGCCCGTGAGCACTGCTAACTTAAGAGGGGGCATAGTGGCCAGCCTGTTTCCACTCAGCCCCCCTTTCACAGCCCCCCCAAGCCACAGCAGAGGGGCTTCACTCAGCCCCGGCCCATCCCCCCACTATCCTGGGTCTTTCTCGCCTGACTGGGTGTGTTTGTTCCCTGAAATCTGCCACCAAGACCACCTCACTCGTCAAGCTTTCCAAAATGTGTTTATTTTGTGCTATGTCTTTGGGGCTTCATCTGGTGGCTCCTGGGTGGTCGCTCCTGTTTGCGGGGAAGATCGTGCGGTGTTGAGGCAGGGATGCTTCGTGCCAGGCCCGCCCTCAGCCCGTCAAACCGTCTCCCCTCCCTGCTCACACTTTTTTAGGTGTGCGCAGGGTCCGGGGATAGACAGCTGCCTGTAGTGGCCCCTGGGCTGGGTGGAGACGGCGAGTTGCAGGCTGATGGAAGTGCTTCACCCCCCACCCCGGGAGCCCTGCTTGCTGCCTCACCCCCACTGTCCCTCAGGACCCCAGGGAGTGGCCAGCAGGAGGAGGCAGCCTCTTTCCCTGGTCCGCACATCCTTGCCCAAGGTTGTACTGTCAGGAGGCTGTGCCTGCAGGTGCAGGTGAATTGAGGGGCGCCAGGCTGGGCCTGCAGCCGGGATCCATCTTGAGCTCCGGCGGGGTCTTTCCTCCCCACCCTTGTTGTCAGCCCACACGCCCGTTAGACCCGGGGTTGTCCCTGATGGAGCCAGTAGACAGGCCTCCTGGAGGGAGGTGATCCCCACTTCCTGCAGGGGGGACGGACCGGGAGGCTCCTTCCTCTCAGCCTGGGGGAGCTCCTGGGGTGGGGGAAGAGGCGGCGAGGGGTGCCCTGGTGAGCTGAACTTGCCCCGGGCTTGGAAACAGGGTATTGAGAGGAGCCACCTAGGCTGGGCCACACGAGCAGACCCATGTCCCGTGTCCCCCACAGTCTGGGCAGCTGTCCCCATGCTCCCTGCAAAGCCTGGCAGAGGGAGCCAAGCTTGGTGCCCTCACCTCGGTGGCCCCCACCCCAGACACTGAGGGGTCTGAACGCAGCTGGCAGGGCAGAGGGTGGCCTGCAGTACTGAGCTGCGGACAGAGGGCATGCGGGTGGCTGTGCAGGGAGTGGGGGTCCAGGGGGGTCCAGGTGAAGAGGCAGCTTCCTGGGCCCTCTGGGCTGGCTCAGACCACTGGGATCTGGTGTTCGTGGGAAGTCACACACACACACAAACACCACACTACTACACGGGGTGGGATAGGCATTTTACCACTGCACTGTGACGTGGCCGTGTGACCTGGGCTGGCCACGACCTCTCCCTGACCTTGGCTTTCCTCTCTGGGTGGCTTGAGGACCCCACGGGTCGGAGCATGAGAACCAAACCTTCTCAGGACACAGATGAGAGCTGAGGGGTAAATGGCGGGAGGAGGCGGGGTTGGGGGTCACCCTGAACCCCAGGAGCTCATGTCCAGTGGGGAGCAGAGTTACTGCAGGACATGTTGACTAAACAACAAGAACCAGGGAACGAGGGACTGGGGAAGTGGGTGTCCCCAGGGACGAGGAGGCAGAGACGTGAGGTGCAGGGTGAGTTGTGGGTGCAGAGGCAGCTGGAGAGGTGGAAGAGGCAGCAGACCAGGGTCCGGTCTTCATGACAAGGGGGGCCGGGAACTGGAGAGAGTCCTGGTCACCCTTCTGGACCCCTTCCCACCACTCCCCAGCCTGGACATGGGTGAGCCTGGGTAGCCAGGCCCTGAGGGTGGGTGTGCTGCGCCCCAGGCATCACCCCAGGATGCCCCAGGATAGTTGGGGTGATCCTGACCATCCGGGGCCACTCAAGGCCAACCGCAACTTTTGGAGTTTTGATGTTGCCCTTCTCGGGAAGCTCTGGGTTCTCGTGGCTTCTGGGTCTTCCCCCCACCTGGTCCCTTGTCCCAGACACCCTTCTTTCAACACCTGCTGCCCTGAACCGGCCGCTCGGAAGCCTGCCCAGCTGCAGCGCCCTCCACCCCCATCTCCCCTGCCCCAGCCATGGATCAGCACCGACCTGTGTCCCGTCCATCTCCCAAGGCCCCTGAGGGACAGGGCCCACAGTCTGCCCATTCCCACTA